ATTTGTTTTGTTTGGTGCTTTGGTCTTTATGTCGTCTAATAATGGCATGACGAGTCAAAACAGATGATTTGATATGAATGTTTATGTGGTATCAGTTGATCTCATTAACTTACAGTTGATCTAATCATCAACACTCAGCTCAGAATCTTGTAGTGTTTACACTAGTGTAAAGGTTGGCTAGTTTTTACCAGAGTTCACAGAGTTTACTGGATCAGGAAAGTGCTTTATGTGTGTGTTTTGTTAGCATTGTGCGATTCATGTTTTACTGCTAAAAGATATGATGAGTTTGTGATTTTACTGTCGATCAATTAATGCAGACGCACTTAACAGAGAGCTTTACTAGACTGAGAGGAGAGATCGCAGTTTCCCAAATCTAGACCTGGAGAAACACCATGCTGAAGAGCTGAACTGGGTGGATGGATAAACGGGTGAATGGACAGACAAACATAGATAGATAGACAGACAGATAGATAGATAGATCAGTTAGATGGATGAAAGAATAGATAGATGAATGAATAGATGGATGGACAATGGATAATTTGATGGATGGATGGAGGACTAGATATATGGACAGATGGAAGAATGATAGATAGATAGATAGATAGATAGATAGATAGATAGATAGATAGATAGATAGATAGATAGATAGATAGATGGATGGATGGATGGATGGATGGATGGATGGATGGATGGATGGATGGATAAATGGACGGATGGATGGATGGATAGATAGATAGATAGATAGATAGATAGATAGATAGATAGATAGATAGATAGATAGATAGATAGATAGATAGATAGATAGATAGATAGATAGATAGATAGATAGATAGATAGATAGATAGATAGATGGATGGATGGATGGATGGATGGATGGATGGATGGATGGATGGATGGATGGATGGATGGATGGATGGATAAATGGACAGATGGATGGATAGATAGATAGATAGATAGATAGATAGATAGATAGATAGATAGATAGATAGATAGATAGATA